CCCACCCTCTTGTTTATGAATAAAGAATTTGGAAAAAAAAAAAACTGGACAAAGCAGCCTAACTAAAAGCAACAAGCTCAGAACATTCAAACTACAAGTACGGTAGATAGAGAGTTGGCAGTAACTGAAGCCGGGATCCAGATGTTTTCACCGTTGGACCGCTGGAATAACTCTGCTGACCAGAACAGCTCCACTTGCTTTTACACAAGCTATTATAAATAAGAATGGAAGTTCCTTGTTCATACTGACAGCGAGCACTTGTACATATTGTGCCTCCATTTAGTTGTATGTAACCCTCTGTCTCTCAAGTTTATAAAGTAGCAATGCTTTGATTCCTTTTATCTCTCTCGGCGGAGAGAAGCTTTCCTTTTTCTGCCGCTATTTCACCGTAATAATTAACCTTTACAAGAGGCTGCGTGTTGCGCTTCATACAGCTGGGGCCCTTTTGCTTTGATCATAAGAGTAATACAAGTCATGAGCCATGAGGTGCACACATCTGTTTCCCCACATTACTGTCACACGCGTGTAAACAACCCTAAGCCGCGTATATCCGAGAAGCCAATACTGCTCTGGCGAGATAAAATACTGCACCCTTAATGACTACAGCTGTCTGTCTTACGATGCCGTCTACTTACTCATTCCACGTATAATGAGAAGGGAGCAATACAGAGTGTCATGTAGATGTGGGGAGTTCAGAAATAAAGGGCACCTGTCACTCTAGCAACATTCTGTGCCTGGAGACAGCATTTTACAATGTGTGCTTTGTGTTGATGAACTTCACTGGCCAAGTGACCCTTCCATAGGGTGGAAAATACTCTGCTCCTGACCTCTCTACCTTTCCGATTACTCTGACCAATGTGTCCCCTTTATAGGGTGTTCTTGACCTTCTCTCTACCTTTCTAAGTACACTGTCCAATATGACCCTTCCAAACAGCAGGACATACTTTTCTCTGACCTCTCTCTATCTTTCTGATTACGCTGTCCAATGTGACCCCTTTACAGGGTGGAAAATACTCTGCTCTGGACCTTCTTACTACATTTCCAAATACAACATCCACCATGTCCCTTCCATAGAGTTGGAAACACTCTTCTCCTGACCTTCTCACTACATTTCTCAATACAACATCCACCATGTCCCTTCCATACAGCAGGAAATACTCTTCTCCTGACCTTCTCACTACATTTCTGAATACAACATCCACCATGACCCTTCCATAGAGCAGGAAACACTCTTCTCCTGACCTTCCTACTAGATTTCCAAATACAACATCCACCATGTCCCTTCCATAGAGCAGGAAACACTCTTCTCCTGACCTTCTCACTAGATTTCCAAATACAACATCCACCATGTCCCTTCCATAGAGCAGGAAATACTCTTCTCCTGACCTTCTCACTAGATTTCTCAATACAACATCCACCATGTCCCTTCCATAGAGCAGGAAATACTCTTCTCCTGACCTTCTCACTAGATTTCTCAATACAACATCCACCATGTCCCTTCCATAGAGCAGGAAATACTCTTCTCCTGACCTTCTCACCCTTCCCTCTCTCCTGTTTCGCTTCCAAGACCGCAGTTTAGTCTCTTGTACAGGCATCTTCCCGCTGCGATGCGGTAAAATAGGTTAATGTGCATAAAGCAGTCCATATTGGTGAGTACTGTCATTATCCATACCTGCCACGATATCCGCTAATGCATGCCTTCTATTTATAGAGGGGATTTAATGGCTCAGATACATCACGAACGCAGCGCGAGCGACCTAGAGCAGCGTTGGCTCTTTAGGATGAAGTGGCTGCAAATTTAAGGCCTTTTTGTATCTTGGAGATAACAAACGAGCTGCATCCGTACATGGGAATTACTGTTGGATGTGTAAGCGCAGGAGCACACGTGTCTCCTCGAACGCATTCATTACATTCCTCCTTCTGAATATTATTCTTTTTTTTATACACGCTGTTATTTCTTGTAAGGGAGGGTGGG